AATGTGCTTGGAACTAGCGATGCATCCGCATGCAGAGTTCGGCTCGGTGGCGCGCGTCTGGCCTGACATCTGGAAGAGGTCAGCCGCGCGCGAGGGCGAGGGGCGGACTGCAATGCGCGGGGGCAGTTCTTCGGGCGGCGGCGTCTGAAACATATCATTAACGCTGGCGGGTTTCCGCCCGCTGGGGGTATATATATACACATAGAAAGAGGAAGAGGGATAGAGAGAGAGAGAGAGAGAAAAAACAAAAGAGAGATCATATATATATATATATAAATATACATATATACATATATATAAATATAACGAGAGAAGGGGATATGAAGATGCCGGGAAGGGGGGGGGCGAGAGAGAGAGAGAGAGAGAGAGAGAGAGGGAGAAAGACAGAGAGAGAGGGGGGGGGAGAGAGGGAGAGAAAGAGAGAGAGAGAGAGAGAGAGAGAGATATGGAGGCGGAGAGATATAGAGAGATGGCAGCGATGGTTTAATGGCCAACATTACCGCCCCAAGAACTGCGCCGCGCATTGTGGATCGCTTCGCAGGAGCTCGATTTGCGCCCAAACTACGGGTTTACGTCGAAGAAGATTTTCACCGGCATGAAGACGCAGGAGGTGAGCTACGAAAGCATCCCCGTGACCGAGCAGAAGAGCCACGTTTTCTCCGAGAAGGACAGCGTCTGTGATCAGATCAAGATGAGGATTATCTGTGGAAGAATGGGCAAAGCGGAGTTCGTTAAAACCCCAGGAGAAGCGGGCCACTCTGCGGGCAAGTTCTCATTCCGCACGGAAGAAGATCTCGACGCTATGCTGTGCGACCCCAATTCTCCTATCGCGCTTCTACAAGTGGTACGTGCACGCGATCGACCTGGAGTACTCCGACGACGAACCCCTCCGCGCCCTCAACAACCTGGGCGAGATCGACCAGGTGCTGGTGAACGACCAGGAATGGATGGCAAAGCAGCTCTGCGGGCAAGGTATGCAAGTGGAGCCAGGTGCTCGGGAATCCGATACATGACAGAGGGCAAAGCTGTCGAACCCGCGTGGAAGTGCATGTGGGAAACCCCGACTCGGCACTATCAGGAAGAAGGGTACGGGAGACTTATGGCCGCGGAGTACTCGTTGCAAAACGCGCCCAGCATGGCGAAGTCTTTTGCGTCCCGCACCCACGCAGTGGATGTTGGTCAAGAAGAGAGCCATAACCAGCACCTATTGAAGTTGGTGGATGAAGGCATCTTTGATTCAGAAGGTCACGGCGTCTGCATGCTCCCGCTTCGCGTCAGGTTCCGCGAGGCACGGATAAATTTCGCTGAGTACTATGGAGGCTTGGGCCGCAAAGAAGCCGAGAATCTGTATCAGGCTTTGAGCGACGGCCAGCTGCCGCGCAGCGAGGTGCCGCATTTGTGGAAGCTTGCTGAAGAATATCAAGAAGCCGCCAAGCTGCTCACAGAGCTACCACAGAACCGCTGGGTTCAGCACTATTACTTCAACAGGTCGAATCCATTAATGAGCAGATTCGCGGCGTTGTTAAGTTGCAGTGAAAGCGCTTGCACAATGTGGACAGAAAACTTTCTGCGGGAGAAATGCTCGTCTGCCTTGCTGCTGTAGACGTACGATGGAAGCGTGTTTGAATGCAGTCCGGATGAAGAAAACACATCATATTGAATTGCAACGAGCAGAGCAGTCCGAGGAGATAGATGTTCCAGTACGGATTAAGCCATGGGATGAAGACCCTATGCGGTCTGTTGCTATTGATCTTTTCGAAAGGGGATTAGCCGTAGAAGCCGATCGGCAGTTGAATCGCCTTCCAGGGAGCTCCAAGTGCACGTTGAATTGCGTGCGGTATTTGGATGGCGATCAGCAGGCATGGGACATTTACGATATGGATGACGGCCCGTACTGCGCCACTGACCTCAACGCGGACAGCTTTGACGATTCGCAGCCGACGGCCGATGGCTTGATTATCGCAAGCGCGCGCATGCCCGCCGAGTGTGAGTCGACAATCGGGAAAAACTCAGAGTGAGGGGGCCGAACGGTCATTCACTGTCCCTGGGTGCGTGGCTGAAGTGGAATTCTGCGGTGCGGATTCGTGTTGTTGCTGTTGTTGTTGTTTGTTGTTGTTTGTTGTCGTCGCCCGACCCGCAGCCCGCCCCGCGACCCGCCCGCGACCAAACCCGCGACCCACCCCGCGACCCACCCGCGACCCACCCGCGATCCACCCCGCGACCCACCCCGCGACCCACCCCGCGACCCACCCCGCGACCCACCCCGCGACCCACCCGCGACCCGCCCCGCGACCCACCCCGCGACCCGCCCGCGGCCCACCCCGCGACCCACCCGCGACCCACCCGCGACCCACCCGCGACCCACCCGCGACCCACCCGCGACCCACCCGCGACCCACCCCGCGACCCACCCGCGACCCACCCACCTTCGACCCGAACCACGCTCAAGGTACAAACCGCAATGTTCGGCGCCTGCGGCGAGCTTTTTTTGCACTCCTTCCAGGTGGAGCGCCCGCGACCCACCCCGTGACCAACTTGCGACCAAGCCGCGACCCAAACCACGTTCAGGGTGCAAACCGCAATTTTCGGCGCCTGCGGCGGGCTGCTTTTGCAGTCGCTTCAAGTGGAAAGACCGCGGCCCACCCGCGACCACGTTCAGGGTACAAACAATTGTTTTCTGCGCCTGCGGCGAGTTTTTTTTTGCATTCGCTCCCGGTGGAGAACCCGCGCCCCCCCCCCCCCCCCGCGACCCAAACCACGTTCAGTGCACAAACCAATATTTTTGGCGCCTGCGGCGGGCTGCCTCTGCATTCCTTCCAGGTGGAGGTGGAGAGCCCGCGACCCACCCGCGACCCAAACCACGTTCACTGAACAAGCCAAAGCCGCGCAAGCGCGGCGGCGGATTTTTGCATGCCGTCCTAGCCCGCGAGGATCTCTTCAAGCCCCGCGCATCCACAACAGCCCGCCCAGCAAGTTTGCCCTGGCGAGTTGCCTTGATCAGAGAAGTCGGGGAGCATAAAGCGGGGGGGAAACAAATTGCGCTGCCGCTATCTTGGGGAAGGTGGGGGAGGCAGGAAGAGTAAACAAGGTGCGAGGAGGATGCGGAAGAAGAGAGGATACAAGGAGAATGTGAAGAAAGAGGAGGAGGAGCAGGAGGACGAGGAGGACGAGGAGGGAGAGGAGGGGGAGGAGGAGGAGGACGAGGGGGGGGGGGAGGGGGTGGATGATGATGATGATGATGGACGACAATGGGAGGACGATGATGGAGGCCGATGCGGGGGAGGGCGACAATGGGGGGACGACGATGAAGGGGCGAGGGGGAGAAAGGGAGGACGAGGGAGAAGAGGAGGAGGACGAGGTGGAGGAGGAGGATGACGATGACGGTGACGATGAGGACGAGGACGAGGAAGAGGAGGAGGAGGAGGAGGAGGAGGACGAGAGCGCCATCGACAGGGAAGGTGGGCGCCACGAGGTCTGCCGGCCCGACGACGCCCGCGTCGCCCGCGCCCGCCCCCTCACTCTTATCCGCATTGCGGGGTGCTGCGTATATGTGTCACCAAGAATTCGACGAGTGCGCGCACTTCTTCGCTGCGTTCATACTTGCCGCGTCGATGATCGAGCTGCGCGACGATCTCCGGGGCCAGGTGGTCGGGGGATGGCGAGCGCGGCTTCGCTGATTCATGTTTTCGCATTTGGGTTGCAAATCCAAATGCGACGGCAAACCTGCGGCGGAGCCGCGCGCGTCGCCCCCCGCAGGCGTCGCAGACTACCACCGCTGCTTTCCGGGACCGAAGTCAGAAATCGGCTGGGATTCGCGCGTTAGAACTCAGACCAAAGAGTCCCGCTGATGCTGCGAGCGGCACGGGCGATCCAGCGCACTTCTTGGAGGGCGGCGCCCCGCTCCTCATCCACGAGGGCGCGTGCGATTCCATCGTGCGCGGCAGGAGGTCTGCGCGCTCGCGCGTGGCGGGGCGCGACGCCCTGGGGAACCCTGGTCGTCATTCCCGAACCACTAACGATATGAGGCAGCTTGGCATTGAGATGGGGGTGGAGTTTGCGAATGCGTCAGGGAGTTCCAGAACCTGCAGGCGAACGAATTCCACTAGCCGCTCTACGAGCACATGCGTGCCCTTGTCGTTCAACGATATTGGTTTCCTTGTTGCCGCGCCAGGCGGCGGGCCATTCTGGATTGTTGCAGACGGGTGCAAAATGCTAGCTCAATTTGGGATGGGAGCGAGCCGAGCGACATTCGAGACCGCGCTGGCAGGCGGCAGGTTCCTCGTTGACGACGGCGCAGGCCATGCTTTTGCACCGCTTTTTGGCAGCTACAGCACCATCGGATGAGTCAGCAGAGATGCGCAACAATGCCTGCGTGGGTTTCTTCTGCGTTGCCGCCGTCAGCGGCGCCATCGGCAACGCAGAGAGCGATTGCACCTGCGAGCGGTCCGATGGGGGGGGTCTCGCCGCCACCGCCTGCGAGAACTCTGAAGATGTCGGATGGTTCTATGGGCAGTGGGGAGTTCGATTCGCTGTGCGGCACGGGCCATTCCTACCTGTCGAAGACGCCAGGGGTGCTCGCAGCGGTGGCGAGGCAAGAAGTCGAATCTACTCTGTCGACCCTCAGCGACACAGAGAGCGCGGGCGCCGCCAGACGAGATGACTTGTGGCACTGCCCGTTGCGCCCTTTCCAGATCTTTCCAGCGGTGAGATAAGTTGCTATCCCACGTGCGTAACCAGCTCGCTGGTAAAAGCTCATGTGGCGCGTCGAACAAACAGATGCGCGTGATACATGCGATGTGGAACCATTCGGCGTCGTGCCAGCGTTCTGCAAGCCTCTGGACTACGGGCGGAGATGAGCTTGGGCCGCGGTCGCTGCTTTCGCGCAGCGCCGAACGCATTCGGAACGGGTGTGAGGGGTGTCCATCTTGGGGCGAGGTAAAGCATCAGCTCGCGCGGACTGACACCGATCGGCGCACGGCCCTCCTGCTCGACGCTGGCGAGCGCCCTCGTTCTATCCTGCGCTCGGACGCAGGGCCATTCCACCGAATCAGCGAGCATTACCACTGCACCGATGATTTCTCGGCACCGTTCCTGTCCGCTTTACTCCACCCAGACACCGAGGGATCGAGGAAGCGGGCTTGGGCGCGCGTCAAGGACGCCGCAGGTTTCACTGGGTATATTTTCCCAGGCGACCCTGCCATTCATCTAACCTTTGTAGGGGGTTTGTTGAAACATTGCCGCATCAAGAACACGATTGCAAAGTGCCGCGAAGAGGCGGACAAGACTGTGATCGGCATTGACGGCCAGTGCCCAACCCTGCTTTCGGCATTGCACCAGACGCAGCATGGAGCATCCGGGGCTGAACGAAAGACAGGTGTCCATGTCCAGATATCGGTTCCGCGCATGGATTCGGTTCTCCTGGCGAAGCACGCGCCGTCGGAGGCACTCATGCATGCGAAGAAGGCTCTGCTCGAAGCGGTCGGCAACGCGAACGGCGCAATACATGTGCGCACGATCTGTTCAGATGCGCCCATCTCGTTGGAAGACACCGCCCTCCGCGCCGCGTTCCCGCGGCTGCAGTGCCTCTCCAGGGGCCCCCTGCACATCGCGCTGAAGGTCGAGCACGCATCTGGCGAGAAAAGCACTCCGTCGTCGAATCTCATCCGCCGATGCATTGCGAAGTTCCCGAAAGGATTTGACGATGGCAACCTTATCACCGTGGGCAGCGACGGCGAACGGACTCGCAGTCACTGGAAGATGCGATGTCCTCGCTGTCGGATGCTGCTGCGGCGAGAGGCATGTCGGCGATCAAGGCCGAAGGCTACCCCGAGCAACCGCGCCGCAACGCCGTCTCCTTCATGAAGGACATCGCCTCCTTGTGCCACATGTTCCCGCGGGAGATGGGCAAGACGACTGGCGAGAAGACCGCTGTCCTGGGAAGCTTGCGATATGCGACGTCGCCCGCGCAGCTCGAGCATCTCCTGGGCCTGGGTAGATTCATTCCGCGGAACCCTGGCGCTCAGGTGATGCATGGAACAACGAGGAACGAAACATTCCATATGCAAGTAAAAAGCATTGTTCCGCAATGTCTTTCTGCAGACAGAGCGCAACGCGCGCGCTGTTTGTTCGGCGCTCACTTTCGCCAAGCTTCTGGCAGGTTGGGCCAGGAAAATTTGCCTCTGACTGAGCGCCACCAGGAGCGCGACCTGCCCCATGCTGCGCCGTGCGCCCCCACCCAGCACTCGCCGAAGATCGCGCCAAAGTTGCGCATGGAGCGCAGCGTGAATCCGCAGGTCGACGTCGGCCGCTTGCCTTCGAGTGCCAAGGTTTTGCGCAGGAGGCCAGCGGCTGCTGCGGCGATGCCCCGCCCGCGAAGGCGGCCCGCGGCTGCTGGCGCCACTGCTTTGCGCAAGAGGCCAGCAGCTGCTGCGGTGGGCCTCGCTCGCCCAAGCGGCCTGCCCTCGCGGCCTTTCTGTGATGCTCGGGAATTGATGCGCGCTTGCAGAATAGATCGTGTGTTCCTCATAAATTAACTGAAAACGTCGACCTCAGACTGAGTGTTGTTCGCGTCAGTGGAACTGACTGCTGGCGCATGCTGTCCTTCCGTGAACTGCTCAACAGCGTTGCTCAGCCGTACCCTTGCGTGAGAAAAAAATCAATCTTGCATGTGTTCGACATGTTTTGTCAGCTCATCATTATTGGCCAGACTCTCTCTTCTCATGCATCCTGCTATTCCACGGGGAAATCCGCCGATCCGGCGTGTGAGTTTCAAGGAGTCTCAGCTACAGCCTCGAGGCTGAGCTTCAGCCTCTGGGGGGGTCGCCGGGGTGGCTCTGCCGGGGAAGGGGGGGTGGGGGGGGGGGGGGGGGTGCGAGTTTCCGGCGAACCCCGGGGCCGCTCCGGGGGAGTGGAAGATAGGGGGGGGGGGGGCGCCATGCTCCGCTTTTTCCGGCGCTTTGGAGGAGGGGGGGGGCCCAAGAGACCCCCAAGGGGTTCCAAGAGGGCCCCGAGTCGCCGAAAAATCGCTCCAAGACGCCCGAGATGGCCTCCAGACGGCCCAAGGTGTCTCCAAGACGCCCCAAGAAGCTTCCAAGAGGCCTCCCAAGAGGGCCCCAAGAGGCCAGAATCGTTGATTTTCATTGGTTTTCTCAGGGTTTTTAGCGTTCTTGCCTTTTCGGGCGTCCGACGCTCGAAGACGGCCCAAGAGGCCCCCAAGTCCGTCCCAAGACGGCCCACGATGCTTCCAACACGGCCCAAGAGAGCCCCAAGACGGCCCAAGAGGGCCCCAAGACGGCCCAAGAGGGCCTCTGGACAGCCCAAGAAGGCCCCAAGAGAGCCCCAAGAGGGGCCCAAGAGGGGGACCACGAACCGAAAGAACCGAGCTTTCCGCCCCAAGAGGCCCCCAGGAGGCCCCAAGAGACCCCCAAGGGGCCCCAAGAAGCCCACAAGAGGCCCAAAAGAGGTTCCAAGAGGCCCCAAAACAGCTCCCCAGAGGCCTCCAGACTGCCTCCGGCAGGCCCCCGGTTTCTTCCGCGGCACCGCCCAGGGCGCCACCGGCAGGATGTCCTCCGTCTCATCGTTTTCCTTCAAGTTATCGCCTCTTCCTCATTCTCCTCCTCCTCCTCTGCGACCTCACTCCTATCCCTCAACGATCGCGTCACCGAGTGCCTCTTCTTTGAAACATCCTCGCTCTTCAAACGCACATCCATACACACATGCATACATACCTACATTTAAACACATTTGCATACATAGAAAAACAATCTTCCAGACATACATACTTACATTCACACACATACACACATATTATCATACACACATACAAACATACATACAAACTAAATACATACATACGCGCACAAGCATACATACATACATACGTACCTACACACAGGCACACATGATCAATGCATGCATACATGCATGCACGCGTACATACACACACATATATCGTGAAACTCACCGCGTGCTCGAAACTTGAGAGAGACCGCGGGAAGTCGAGAGAAGCCGCGGAACGAGGCCTCTACTACTACTACCACTACTACCACAACCACTACTACTACTACTACTACCACTACTACTACTACTACTACTACTACTACTGCTACTACTACTACTACTACTACTACTAATACTACTACTAGTACTACAGGAGCGTTTCCCAACTAGTATGTGTGTGTGGGTGATGCTGTGTGCGCATGTCTGCGGCGCAGGTTAAGTGGTGTGACTGTGTGTGTGCGTTTGAGTGTGCGCCCATAATTTCTGCGTCTGGAGAATAACCCCGAGCGACCCGGATCGGCGGCACTGGCCGAAGGCCACTACAATATATGCAAAACGTCACGTTCCAGGGGACTGAAACAAAACCTCCCCCCCGAAAACCGAGCCGAGGGGGGGTGCGGACAGCAGTGGGGACGGTGGTGGTGGGGACAGTGGTGAGGGGACAGCGGGTGAGGACAATGGTGGGAACCGTGGGGACAGTGGAACAGTGGTGGGGACGGTGGTGGTGGGGACAGTGGTGTGGGGACAGTGGGAATGTGGTGGAAACAGTAGGACAGTGGAGAGTACAGCGGGGGTGGAAACAGTGGTGAAGGCGGTGGCGAGGACGGCGGTGGGATAATGGGACAGAGGTACAGTGGGGACAGTGGTGGGGACAGTGGGGACAGTGGTGGGAACAGTGGGACAGCTCAGTGGGACAGCGGAGGAGTCAGTGGGACAGTGGGGACAGCGGGGATAGTCGGGGCAGTGGTTGGGGCCGTGGAGAAAGTTGTGAGAGTGGAGCCGTGGTGGAACCGTGGTGGGAACAGTGGTGGGGACAGTGGGGACAGTGCGACAGCGGTGGTGGCATTGGTGGGGACAATAGGGGCGGTGGTGGAACCAGTGGGGACAGCGGTGGTGAGGACAGTGGCGCTGGGAACAACAGTGGGGGATGTGGTGAGGACGGTGGTGGGGACTGGGAGTCGTTTGCTGGCGGTGAGAGGGGGGGGGGGGGGGGGGGGGGGGGGGGGGGGGGGAGGGTTCGAACCGGTAGTGACCCCCCCCTCCGGTTTTTTCGATGGGGGGGGGGGGGGGAGGGTTCGAATCGAACCGGAAAGACCCCCCTGTTTTTCGCGGAAGGGGGGGGGGTCCGAACCTGTAGTGACCCCGCCCGTTTTTTCCCCAGCAGCGGTGGAACCTCCGGTTTCCGAGGGGGGGTCGAACCGGTAAGTGACCCCCCCCACCTGATTTCCGATGGGGGGGGAGGGGTTAGGGGCGGGGGGTGGGGGGGGGGGCCGGGGGAACAAGGGGGCGGGGAAAGGGGGTTTCCAGCAGGGGGGGGGGGGGGGGGGGGGGGGGGGGGGGGGGGGAAGATTTTTTCGGAAGGGGGGGGACCCCGGTTCCAGAGGAAAAGGGCGGCAATTTTCCACAGTTAAGGCGGCGGTGGGATCACCTCTCTTACGATCGTTAATTATGTAAGGAAACTTGGCGGAGGAGAGGAAGAAGGAGGAGGAGGTGGAGGAGGAGAGAGCGAAGAGGAGAGAGGAGGAGGAGGAGGAGGAGCGAGGAGGAGGAGGGAGGAGGAGGAGGAGGGGAGGAGGAGGGGAAGTAGGAGGAGGAGGAGGAGGAGGAGGGAGTAAAGGAGTCAGGAGGCGGAAGGAGGAGGAGGAGGAGGAGAAGGAGGCGGATAAGGAAAATGACAAGGAGGAGTGGGAGGAGGAGGAGAGAGGAGGAGGAGGGAGGAGGAGGAGGAGGAGGAGGAGGAGGATCGGGCCTTCGGCGCAAGGTAGCCCAGCAGCATGTTCCGGAGCGGGATCACCTGGCAGAGGCACTGGACCACGACCTCGGCGAAGAGCGGCCCCGCCTCCTCCTGCTCCTGGTCATCCTCGTCCGCTTCCTGCTTCCTCCTCCTCCTCCTTCTCCTCCTCCTCCTCTCCTTCCTCCTGCTGCTGCTGCTCCTCCTCCCCTTCACCTCCCCCTCCTCTCTACTTTCTTCTTCCCGCCTTCTTTCATTGCTCCTCCCTCCTCCTCCTCCTCCTCCTCCTCCTCCTCCTCCTCCTCCTCCTCCTCCTCTTGCTCATCCCCTCCTGCTCCTCCTTTTCCGCGTCCCTATATTCCCCTTTCTCCTCAGTCTCTAATTACCTCAACCTCCTCCTCTTCCTCCTCCTCCGCTGCGGAAGCAACAACTGCATAAACGGATACTTTCGAGGTCTGCGCAGACGTGACAGCCAACATACCTAGTATACTATCCCAACATGGCACCCAGACGGCCAAAGAGGCCCCCCAAGAAGGCCCGAAATGCTCCCAGAAGTCCCCAAGCGGGGCACGAAGCATCCAAAAGGTCCCACAGAAGACTCCGAGGAGACTCCCGAGAAACCCCAAGAAACATACCAAAGACTTGTTCACGACCCAGGCAAGGTGGCGGGACTGTCCTCTCGTGCCTCCCGCATCCTCCTCCTCCTCCTCCTCCTCCTCCGCCTCTTTCTGATTAGTCATGCCTTCTCCTCTTCCATCTTCCTTGCACTCCTGCTGCTGTTCCTTCTCCTCCCCCTCCTCCTCCTCCTCCTCCTCCTCATCATCATCATCACCATCACCATCACCATCACCATCACCATCACCATCACCATCACCATCACCATCACTTCACCATCACCATCTAATCATCATCATCATCATCATCATCATCATATCATCGCATCATCTCACCATCATCATCATCATCTCTTCTCATTCATCATCATTCATCATCATCATCATCTCCGCATATCTCCCCGCATCCCATCATCCGCATCCGCATCCGCATCCGCATCCGGCTTCCCATCGTTTTAGCATCGATCGCATTCGCATCCGCGTTCAGCACCTGATCAGCATCTAGCCGCAGCATTCATATCATCATCATCTCATCATCATCATCATCATCTATTCATCATCATCATCGTCATCATCATAATTAATCATCTCATCAATTCTATCAGTTTTGGGAGTTTTGTGGATCTCAGTGGTCCGCACCCCGGCTGCGAAAGAAGCTCGAGCCCAGAGCGGCCTCCGGCACCGTTTCGGGACAGATCCGGTGGATCCGGTGGATCCGCCGACGAATCCCAAACCGGCGCCCTCGCTTGAGACATCCTCACAAAACCGGCCCCGGGGGAGGGAGCCCAGAGCGGCCTCCGGCACCGTTTCCGGACAGATCCGGTGGATCCGCTGGATCCGGTGACGAATCCCAAACCGGCGCCCTCGTTGAGACATCCTCACAAAACCGGCCCCGGGGGAGGTGCCCAGAGGAGCCCAGAGCGGCCTCCGGCACCGTTTCCGGACAGATCCGGTGGATCCGGTGGATCCGCCGACGAATCCCAAACCGGCGCCCTCGCTTGAGACATCCTCGCAAAACCGGCCCCGGGGGAGGTGCCCAGAGGAACCCAGAGCGGCCTCCGGCACCGTTTCCGGACAGATCCGCCGACGAATCCCAAACCGGCGCCCTCGCTTGAGACATCCTCACAAAACCGGCCCCGGGGGAGGTGCCCAGAGGAGCCCAGCGCGGCCTCCGGCACCGTTTCCGGACAGATCCGGTGGATCCGCCGACGAATCCCAAACCGGCGCCCTCGCTTGAGACATCCTCACAAAACCGGCCCCGGGGGAGGTGCCCAGAGGAGCCCAGAGCGGCTTCCGGCACCGTTTTTGGACAGATCCGGTGGATCCGCTGGATCCGGTGACGAATCCCAAACCGGCGCCCTCGCTTGAGACATCCTCACAAAACCGGCCCCGGGGGAGGTGCCCAGAGTAGCCCAGAGCGGCCTCCGGCACCGTTTCCGGACAGATCCGGTGGATCCGGTGACGAATCCCAAACCGGCGCCCTCGCTTGAGACATCCTCACAAAACCGGCCCCGGGGGAGGTGCCCAGAGCTTTGATCGTCGGGTGGGTGTAAGTGCGGTAAGAGCGTTGTATATCCGATGAAATCGTTTCAACGAAGATGTATGTAGGTTCATGCTAGTTGACCTCACATATTCAACATATATAAAATATCGAACTTCGCATTCATCTACTTAACGTTTTTTTAGATAAGTATATTCAACAACATACCATACATACTACTCACAGAACCATCCATCTTATCAACTGAGCTATCGGGTACCACTGCCAAGATATATCGATACATACACCTCAACATACCCAACTTAGTAGCTAAGTCAGCTAAGTCGATGTGGGCTGTCCGATTCGGTTAACCCGAAATTTGCATTACTTTCTATGTTTTGCATGTTTGTTCTTGATATTGCTATGTTTCGGGAAAAAACCACAAAAAACGTTTTAACAACTACAACACAACAGTTTTTCAGGACAGGGCGCCGCAGGTCGACGCGCCGAGCCGCCCTCAGGACGCCTGCGGGGCGCGGAGGGGAAGGGGGGCGAGGGAGAGGGGGGGGATCAACTATTCTTCAAACTGCCTCCCCTCGGCGGCCATCACCGCCTCCCCTCTCCTCTCCTCGTTGTCGGCGGCCAGCCCGCCCCCGCTCCCTCCTGCCGCCTTCCCTCCCCGAGCCCGCCTTCCTTCTTCGGCGGCATATCCGCCCCTCCCTCCTGCACCTCTCTATCGAAGGGCGGCGCATCCGCCAGCGGCATATCCGCTCTCGCATGCGCTCGTTTTTTTCCTTTTTCACGCGATGGCGAGCACGTAGCCATCGTCCTGTAGTCGCCGATAAGCCGCCCAGGCTGGCGGGATCAGCTCGGCGGGCATCACGGCGACGTCGCCGCGCGGCCGCCACAGGGACGCGCCTGGGCATGGCGCGCGCACCCATTCCAGGGTCTCCACCAGCAGGTCGCTGGCGGCGCCAGCCTGCGCGCAGCAATGCACGATGTACGCCTCGCCGTCGCCCAGGAGAAAATCCTGAGGGCAGCAACGCCTCGATTTTTGGGGGGCACACGCATGTGCACCCCTAAATACCAAGGTTGGTTGCGCCGTCTGTCCTGGCTGCCGTGCATCTGGCCGTCGATCGACGCCTCTCTGCTGGTCCACGTTTCAGCCCTGCGGAGGGGTTCCTCCTCCTCCTCCTCCTCCTCCTCCTCCTGGCGGCAAGCCGCCTCGGCGGCAAACCGCCTTCCCCTCTCCCAGCCCATCTTCCTCCACAAAGGGCATGCAAGGTTGCGCCCCGAGTGCCCGAACGTACTGTCCAGCTCTGGCGTGCGCCACGCTTTGGCGCGGGAGCGCGGCGCCTCCTTCGCTTCCTCCAGGACGCAGGCGAGCATCGCCGTCAAGGCCGACCGCTCGAAATTCTCAGGGTTGTCGATCTCCTGCGACCTGGACCGAAGCAGGTTGTGCTTCCGCTCGAGTACGAAGGCGTCCAACCAGATGCCGTCCTCCGCAGGCTGGTCGGGGACGTGCCACAAATAATGATGCTTCGGCTTGATCTGGGCTGGCCCGTGCGCGGCTTTGTGCAGCGCCAAGGAAATCGAAACGGCCTTGGTCCAGACAGCTATCAAATTCGGCACGGCGCCGATCCTCAGGACGTAGCCGAACCGCCTGCCACCTAAGCGCTCGAGGATGCGCGCGGGCCGGCGCGGTGCATCCTCGAACGCGCAGGCCAGCGTTTGCGTTTCAGCTGCGGCCGCATGTCCTTTTGCCCTGCATGTACAATTCGAGCATCTTCGCCATCGCCTCGAACGACCGCGCCGCAGCGTTCGCCATGCCGCTGGGACGCAGCTCTGTGTGCACCCAATGTCGAATCAAAGGGAACACGGCCAAGCAATCCGACGCCTTGCCCACGAAGTGCGACGCCTTGCAGGTCGCTTTCTTCCGAGCCACGCTGAACAGAAACGCCGGCGGTTTCCTGCCGCGTCTGCCAGTCCGCCACGCCGAGCAGCGATCCCGCCACGTTCCCCACGCGTCGGGGATGACATCCCTCACCGCCTTGAGGAGCGCAAAGATTTCGACCTGCAAGGTCCCGCCGCTGGCCAGCATGGTATGCATGGGGTCCCTCGCGTATGTGCTCGGCGGCGCCACCGTCCGCAACGCCTGGCACGCCACCAGAGAACGGTCATCCAGAGTGATGCCCATTGCCGTCTCCTTCGGGGGCCGGAACATCAGAAGGGAAGGAAGGGGGGGACATCAGAAGGGGATCGATGGAAATGTTTTCCTCCCTGGATCCAGTCTCTCGATGTTCGCTCTGGTTGTCGTGTCCCGCAGCGACGCCAAATCATCTTTTTCTTATTTTTTTTTTCTTTTTTTTTTTTTTTTTTTTTTTTTTTTTTTTGTTTTTTTTTTTTTTTTGTTTTTTTTTTTTTTTTTTTTTTTTTTTTTTTTTTTTTTTTTTTTTTTTATTTTTTTTTTTTATTTTGTTTTTTTTTTTTTTTTTTTTTTTTTTTTTTTTTTTTTTTTTTTTTTTTTTTTTTTGTTTTTTTGTCTTTTTTTTTTTTTTTTTTTTTTTTTTTTTTTTTTTTTTTTACCTGCTGCAAAAACTCGTCTGACGACAGCGGGTCAAAGCGCGACGAGTCAGCGCTCCAGAGAGGCACGAGGTAATCATCGTCGTCGTAGTCTGCAAGACATTCCGCCTGATCCAGCACAACGTTCTTGCATTGCAAGCACGGTCTCAGACCTGCAGCGCCCTTGGTGCAGAATGTCTCTTTTCCCGCCGCCTCGTCTGCAATCAAGCGGTGGAACTTGGCGAAAAAGTGCACGCCGCCGATTGGCGCACCGTGCTCCGACAGACTCTCTGGGCCCAGGAACAGCGCGCGAAGCAATGCCCGCGCCACGGCCGAGCCGCCGATGCTCTTCTTCACGACGACGCGCAAGGTGCCGATCGGCAGCCACGCAACCTCCTTCTGCAAGAAGGTTCCGAACTCGAGGAAACTCG